CTTAACAGGCATCCACCTTAAAAAAGAGAAAATACCTAGTTTACAAGAGGATAAATAAGGAGCCAAGTAAATTGGGTGATGAAAGCCATGGATAGGGTTTGAGTAAACTTATAGGCAACTTTATCCTTGCGTCATTGGCTGGTTAGCTATTCAACCAAGACAGTGCCAGACAGACCAAACAAGCATATATCTTGCATTACGTCGGTGATGAGAGGGACCTCACTGATCATTCATGACCCATTTGCTGATCACTTATCAAGCGTACAAGTTTGGTTTCCAGTACGTACAAGTAGAAATAAGTACGTTTGCTTGGTAAATTTACCTAACCTGTAGCTTATAGAAGGAAATAAATGAAGAGGAGTTTAAATTAATGATCAGGTTGGTGTTTACCAAGATCATTTCAGGTAATCCACCAAGCTGCCAGTAACTAGTTGTAGTTTCATCCAGTGAGTGATGGGGCTTACTGTTTCTCTTTCTCACCCATGGTTCATGAATATTGCATATTGATGGTGAGAGCAGAGAGTTTGACATTAAAATCGATCAAGATGCCAAAAGTAGCAGATCTCTACATATGCTTAACAATCTTTTGATGGTTAAAACTTAAAAAGACAAGTATATCTATCAACGATGTAAACAAGTCAATAGCCCAGACAAGTTCTGCCCAACTCTTTGCAGGCTTGATTCATACTCATATATATAGCTAATTAAAAGGTGTATTTGGTTCGTAGTGGAAAATGGAATGGAAATCCTATAATCAGAATGGGAATGATCTATTCCTATAGTCTGTTTTTCAGATAAAAATGGGAATGGGAATTGGAATTAACAAGAATGGGTTTTCGTTCTCAATGGAGGGGCAAGGAAAGACCATTCCTTCAAATGGGGGAATGAGATTCCGATTCCAATCAACCAAAGTGGAATCAGAATAGCCCATTCTGATTCTGATTCCAGACCCCTATTCGCGTGAACCAAATGGGGCCTAATTTCTCAGACTTAACTCTTCTTCTGTACATAATATTTTGATATTAGGATCATTAATTGAAGTTCATATTTACAGGTCACTAAGGGCAGTTCAGTGCAAGATGTATGCAGCCTTGCTCTGCATATACAAAGAGGATGTTTCCAAGATTTGAACCCTAGTCACCTAGGTCACAATAAAACAGCCCCAGTATTACACCAAGGCTCATTCATCTAGAGGCCCAATAATTAATATGTATTCATTAGAAGTGGAGACGAACTGAACCTTTCACAAGCTATTGGAGTTTATGAGCTTTTGAATTGAGCCAAATTCAAGCTGAATTTTCTAGCTCGAATCGAATTCAAACCAAGTTTGAATAACTAAATATTTGGCTCAGCTCGAATTCACCTCTAATATTCATCCAGATAAGTAAAAACTTGAGAGAGAGAGAGACATTTCGCTTGGCTCGTATTAGCTGAGCAAGCTAGCTTTCTCATTTACAGTCATGCATCGTGCGGGAAGAAAGGCACAGATGTTGTCAATAGTCATGTTAGGTTAGGCATTTAATTTCTTTGTTTTTTTTATAAGTTAGTTCAGGTTAGGCAAACACCGTGTTTTGTAGACCCAGTCCACTCTAATACAAACAACAGAAATGACTCATCAAGAGATTACGGTAAAAGGCATAGATGTTGTACCACATATAGATATAGATATAGATATATCTGCATATAATGACCCCAAAAAGCATGGTTTTTAAAGATGAACCAGTGATCGAACCGATTAGGGGTCCGGTTATCAGTTCGAACGGTCCGATTGTTCAACTTGAACGATCGGCCCATTCTGACAAAAAATAAAAAATTAAAAAAATTAGAAAACAATTAAAACCGTTCGAACGATTTGAATGATTAACCGGCCGATTCAGTGGTTTGCTGACCAAAATCAACAGTTTTGAAGAAAAACAGAATTCCCAGTTTTTTCAGTCCAGTCCAACTCGATTTTGAAAACCATGCCAGGGCCACCCCACAAGCTACACTCATATATCTCTCTGGTCCCTATCCATGCTCCAATATATAACATGTCATCACCAAGAGCACCCTGATCAATCATTCAATTCTGAGCTTCAGAACAGCTCCAGAAATCAGTTTGAGATGGGCAAGATTAATATTCCTAGGGAGAAAAGGAAGCATGGCCATGATGCTAATTAGGCATCTCAAGGAAAAGCTACATAGAGGCCTCACACTTGCAGCTAGAAGCATGGGGAGCGATAACAACATGGAGTTCAATGAAGTAGAGAGAGTTTCCACAACTCTGGCATCGGATGTGAAGGAAGGACACTTGGCAGTTTTCGCGGTTAAGGGTGGCGAGCACGAGAGGTTCATCGTCGGTCGAACTGGGTCATCTCACTAATCCCGACTTGTTGTTGTTGTTGAGGGATGCTGAAGAATTCGGTTTAAAGCAACAAGGAACTCTTCTCATCCCCTGTCGACCCCAAGATCTTCAGAGGGTTCTAGGAGGCGGCACTAAGCACAGCAATATCACTGCTGCTTGCACCGATGATGTGTGGACTACTACTACTGCTTCCAAGATGCCCCTGATGATCGACTGCTTCTAATTATAACTCTAAAACCACAATTATACTGTAAGAATGTTCAATGCATCAAACATTGAGAAAGTGACAAGTCTATAAGCGATTGTAATTTATACATGTCTAACGCTTATAATTCTCTTTATCTATCTAATAGCATCTCTCCAATTGATTTCTCTTGGAGATAAGCTGTGTATAGAAGTTACATGTATGTGTGTAATTGAACAATACAAGAATGAACAAGGGAGAAAATTTCTAAGAAACTATACTCTGTTTGTTTCTTCCTGACCCCTCTACGTACCGGAAAGCTAAGCTCGACCCACATATTGCTTGGTTCTGAAGATCTCTACAAACAAATTATACACAAATACAAGCTTTAGTTGGTTGTAGCATGTTATGTGATGCCATCACTTTACATGTTTTAATTGATTGGCTTTCAAAAAAAAAATTGCAGAATTTGTGTTCCACTTGGAATGGCTCAATGCATCTTATTTATTGCAAATTACTGTTAATTAAATAATACTAATCTAGAAATATTATTTTCTTTTAAGTCATTTTTTATTTGAGACTTGAGAATGAATTAATGGGTTAATTTCTTTCCCCTTGTTAGTGCTAAGAAAAACATGAAAGGATGAACAATTCTGCCAGGTAATATTTAGGCTGACAACATGATTATTGATTAACATTAACCCTTCTTAAGTGGAAAGGCATTCTGCAGCTGGTTGTTTTCAAGACTTGTAAATTTCAAAGATTTATCAATAGATTGTCTCACTCCCACAGAGCTGGATTTGATATTTTATCTATGCTATCGGCACTGTTAGATCCATCGTGCAAGCCAACTACGTACCAGTATTAACTACACAAGTGCATATTGGTATCCCAATTTCAAAATGTGCTATTGCAATACCTTAATTACTGAAAACGATTCATTAATCACAAGGGCCATTAACAGTAGAAGAAACAAGAAAAAGAATATGGCAAAATTGTTCTCCGATTACTACCTCCAGCGACGGTCTTCTCTAGATATGAGAATGTAAAGAGATGAGCAGAAGCAACATCCATAGAGACTTTGTATAGGAGATAAGGAAAATAGTTAGGATAAAGTGACTTCAATATGGTTAATGGGTTGAAAATGGAATAAATTAGAAAATTAAATGACACCCAAAAGTCATTTTTCTCCTTTTACATGACTAAACTGATAAATTTTGGGAATTCAGTTATTATAATGGCACATTTTGAAATTTGGGTACTAAAATGAAACTAACGCCAAAGTATAAGATACTTATCTACAATTTATCCTTCTTGCATATTAAATTGAAAACACGCACAGAATAATCAGTTTTCCAGGCTTAATTTGGCCGCTGGGCTGTTAACATTTTATTGGGCCGTCCAAAGAAACCCAAATTTTAACTACAAGTCTACAAAACACAACCATGGTAAGGCTAGCTAATAGCTAAGCTGTTCAGTCTCCACAGATCTGAGGATTGATTATAGTATAGGAGCCAAACTTGCAGAAAGATTTGTACTATCGTCTGCCCATTTGTAATGCAACCGTATTGATCGAGAAGGACGTTACCTTATGTATGGCACACTAGCTCACTACATAACATTAATTAGTATGTTGGAGTTGGATTGCTCATCTCGCCTGCCAAACAAGAAAAATATCAGTCCGGATCTCTTACACATCAGTACTGCAATAACAATAAATTGATAAGGGATGGTTCCTCACTCATCACTGCATGAATGGATGATGAGAACTTCTCGACTTAACAATATCTGGAGAGAGAGAGAGAGAGATGGATAAGCAGGCTGACTGTGTGGCCCAGCCCATCTGAGACTTGACGGGGCTTCCAGAGGATTCAGTCCAGGCCCCGACATGACCGTCTGTTGCCACCCCATATATCTTTGGGCTTGTCATTGTCTTACTTCCCTCATGGATAGCATGCATTATACCCTGATTGCTGAGACAGATTACCTATAACCCACTGCAGGATAAGGGATGGACTTTCCAAAGTTAAGGACTTACAGTTTACCATGCATGAATGAGGGATCAGAAAGGGCGGAACAAATGGACCCTTTTATAGCCTTTAACTACGGCTCTACATCGATCCTAAGGTTTCTGGGTCATTTAGATCTCTTTTATGCCAAGGACATTTCACCACCACCCGGCTGCAATATGGATATGGATCCAGAGAAGAAAAGATGTGGAAGGATAGGCCGAACCTGAACCTTCATATATTGCAGAGCGCAATGACCCCACCACAAATTAAAGACCCAGAAAAATGACTAATCAAAGCCTGGCCTGATCAGTGCAGCACATGCAACGTTAACGACGACCCCACACGTATTGCTTTCTTATCACCTTCATATTAATTACTATATAAGAAGAATTCACACTTCTATTGATAATCAAAGAATGAAGCAATCATAAGCGTTATTAGAAATCACTTTTCTTCTGAGATGGGCAAGCACAGTAAGAGAGGGAGTGAGAAGAAAGGAGGGATGGAGATGGTCAAGCTTATGCTGCAAAAGCTGCAAAAGGGCTTCTCACCATCTGCTAGGAGATTCGAATGCAACAACTACAGATCAGAGTTTGATGAAGAAGAAGTCAGAGACACTACAATGCTGCCAGTGCCAGCAGATGTGAAGGAAGGTCATTTTGCAGTTTTTGCTGTCAAGGGTGCGGAGCAGAAAAGATTCATCATTGAATTGAGTTACCTGACTAACCCTGAATTCTTGAGCTTGTTAACTCTGGCAGAAGAAGAATTCGGGTTCAAACAACAGGGAGCCCTTGTTGTCCCTTGTCGGCCGGATGATCTCGACAGGATTCTAGGATTCTAGGAGGGAGGACAACGGAGAGAACTGCTACCAACGCTACTACTGTCTATTGATCTGTGGGGCTGCTTTTAAGACCCCATTGATCGAATGTAGCTAAGAGCAGTTACGTAGTATATGGATGTTTAAGGCATTGTTGATTCATGATTGAGAACTGCACCCAGGCCAGCATCTCCATTTCCATTGTCGCGGAACTAGTATAAGTTTATAATTCTTTGTTCTTTTACAAATTTATTTGTAAAGCAATAAATTACAATAAGAAACAAGATTCATCATCATCTTAAGTCTTGTCCGGCCCCAACTATATAGAATCGGCTACATATATGAATCCTGTTTCTTCATTTCATTGTGTTCTGTTCAATGCCTTATCCATCGTCAAATTATGAGCACTTAAATCCAATGGGCGATCATCTAGATAGTCCATGTGTTTAATCCCTCCTTTTCTCTTTTCTTTTTGGATGAAATGTATGATAATGTTCTATGAATTCAGTCCCCTTCCCTCGTCTGTTCAGGCCTATACCAGTACCACACTTTAATTCCCTAATCTAAAAACTGTAAGCATAAAAAAAATGATAATAAAAGTCTTATTTTGGACCGGGGGGAGTGTGACCCTTTGGAACCTAAAGTCTTATATTGCCTCGTGCAAAATTCCTGGGTATTTGGCCTTCTATTTTCCTTTTTTTTTTTCTCCTTTTGGGGGGGGGGGGGGCGTCATTAAATTTTACATGTTACAAACATTACAAACAGGGTAGGCTGTAATCGGATTCATCTGCATCGTCATTCACATCTGATTATCATATCAGATTTCAGATGGGATTCGGGACTCGGATTTTAATCGAATCAAATAGGATTAAAACCACATCCATTATGATTAGTAATCGAATGCAAGTTCTAACATTCAAACATAGAATAATCGGATTTGGGGTCAGAATCGGATATCACACCTTCAGAGTTTATTAACAGCCTACTACAAGGCAGGGTGCACGTAACGTGAAGTTCAGTGAACTTTACCACAAAGAACCTAGAGTTACACAGGTTTGATCTCACTTCCATGTACAGAGGGACGTTAACTGACCATCTCATCGGGATGGTTATATAAAGCGTTTGTTGATGATAATAAGTGCACTCTAAGTAATTCCATTGGCAGTTTTCCATCCACTCAAAAGTTCTTATCTGTGTTTGACATCATAGGAAATACGATTTTTTATCTTTTTTATTTCCAGATAGAACAAAGAGAAGTGGCAGATTAAATTTATTTGGTAAACTTGGGAGTGTTCTTATCCATATAGGTAGGCAAATTTAAGGGCATATTCGCTTTTAAACAAGTGTGGATCCCACAGCATACCAACTTTTTCTAGGGTACATCTTCCAGGTGTGGGGGAAAATACTAAAACACCAATTGACAAAATTACTCCTTGTAAGAAAACAATATATGGGTAAAAATGATAAACTAATTTATTGGGTAAATTTCATGATTAAAAGAACACCGGTAAATGTATTTACCTTGGAATGTATTGCCTTAGAGATAATGAGCTTTTTCTTTTATGGTAATTTACAAGGAGATAGAGAGTTTTTACTGCCTTTTTTTGGTTCAAAATGCTCAAGTGCCAAATTGTTAACTGCTTAATGACAATTGGGGTGGAGAGAGAGAGAGAGAGAGAAAGAGCAATCAAGGGTATGAAAAGGGGTGTTTCATCAAAAACTGAAAAACCAAATTGAAAAATCCAATTAACCAACCTGATCAATTTGGTTTTTTTGAAAAACAGAAGCACCAATTTAGTTTTTGATTAACATAGAAAAAAAACAGTGGTTAACCAAACTGATATGTATTATATTGATAATTATCTATTTATAGTATATATATTATAAACAAACAAACAAGCAAACAAAAAAGGCTTGAAACATTGAGCCCAACTATATATTTTTCTATCTTCATTTCATTGTGGAAAAAAGCTCCAACCCCTTAATCTAAAAATAATGCCATCGATTAGTTCGTTTTTTCTTTCGCATGTTTTTTTCTTTTTTGATTTTTTTAGTACTAACTACCTTGTTAGGAGTAATAACATATTTCATATAGGCAGACTCTAGATATGACACAGATGGCTCCTTATAGCTATAGGGGCTTTGCAGTTTATTTATTTTTTTTTTTTTTATTTACATACCCTGTTACCCCAAATTCAAAACATTGTCGGGAAGACAAATGATCACAAGCATGCAGTTTATTAAAAAAAGGAAAAAAATACAAGTATTAAATATCTTTAATCCTTCATCTCTTTTTAAGAAAAGCCAGTCAGATTTCTTTTCCCTTCCTTTTATTGACAATGAAATATTGCATCCAATAAGATACTCCATTACTGCTATTAGTCTTGTTGCAAATAGAAACTGTTTAAAAGAGAATAATGCAAAATATCTTGAGAACTATTTTGCACAGTAAAGTAGTTACAATTTGAAACAATACATGAAAACCGATGACAACCTACTTTGAGAATGAGCATACAAACAAATAGAATAATAGATTTGAAGTAAAAAAGCACCTTTTAATTACTTTGTTAACAGTAATACCTCTGAAATTTTAATTTATTGGTTATTATCGACAAAAAATAAGTTTTGCTGGTTGACATAATTTGTGGCAACCTAGAGGATATTGGTTTTCCAAAGATAATAGAAATGCTTTCTGAAATCTTATTATAACAGGTTATTTATTACCAGGAAATAAAATTAAAGGGGAGAGATAAGAGGGCTTGTCTCTCTCCCACTTTCTCTTGTACACTTTCTTTTAAATTCAATGAAGTTAACAGTTATTCATCAAAAAATAAATAAAATTAACATTTTTAAAATCCAGGGTGCATAAACTCTCTTGCAACAAAAAGGAGAGGTAATAGCAGAAGTCCTTGAATTCTCAAGGAAACAGAAAACCTTTTTGATAAAGGGGGAAAGAAGATAACTGCTCTGGAATCAAAAGTCCTTGAGCCATCTCAACTCTGTACCATGCTCATGAACCAATCGATTTAATTGTCAACCCAACTGGATGTTTACCCATCCAAGAAAGAAGTTCTAACTTTTAAATTATCTTTCACCATTTTAAGTTTCAAATCTCAATTGAGTGATTCAATCTTGATCAAACAATTGACCAGTCCAAAGGAACCAGCAAGTCAATCTAATCAGATTTTTATTAACCAGTCACAAGAAGAAAACTTACTGGACTCATGAACGCCTAGACTTTGAAACTATTATAATGTCTTCTACGAAACTGATTGGACAGAATTGATGATATAGACATTTCAATTAGTCCACATGCCTGTCAATCTTAAAGCATTGACAGGATAGTGAAATTCAGTAATCTCAACAGCCTAACTTTATGTCAAAAATACAATTTTCTTTTCTCAAACATACTAAGTTACATAACCTTACAGTTTCAGAAGGAAGAAAGTGAAATCATCATCAAATATAGAAAATATATCATCTCATTTTACAATCTATAATACATAATAATACAAGCCAAAAGAACCTCGCTATCATATAAAACTATTTTCAGAAAAAATGTACAAGATTGGTCACAGTAGCCATTCTGGAATAGAATTCATTTTACTACTGTGGTTCTACTACTTTACCTCTGAACAGTTACTTGGGCCCACAGGCTCTCTCAAGCAATTTGATATTGCCATGACAGCGGCTTCAATAGATGCATCTTCCCCCTGTTTCAATCTCTGGATAATGTGATGTTGCATCTTGATAAAAAAACGTAGAAGAAATCATTGGCCCTAATGACAAAAAATATTTCATAACAGCATGAGCAAAAGTTCACCTTCTCTTTCCAATAAAACATGTTCCCATATTTCCCTGCCAGACGGCTCCAGAAGCTACGTGGTATGTCTAAATCAACTGAAGCCCCAACATTGAAATTCAATATATTGCCTGATCACAAATACATTATATATGAACCATACATGGAATAAGGCTTAACCTAAAAATGGAAATGTATTTCAACTCATTTACCAAAGGTGGGGTCAGCAACAAAGACAATTGTTCTATCATCCACTTGCCAAAAATCTCTAATTGCTAACCCTGTAAAAGAATGAGAATCTCATGAAATATTCACATGTAGAAGAAACAGACCAGGCAAATGCATGCACAAATTATGTAAGATCATATCATATGATGCTTCAATCCTCAACTCTTACCTGGTGTGTCAGGGTAATTTTGTGCCAAAATTCTCAGCTTGAATCCTGTATCTCTTTCAAGATCAGCTATCTCCTGTGTAAGCCTTTTCTCCTGCTAGTGATCCAACCAGCATCAGCACATTTCCCTCATCCATTCCTATTACACTATAATAAAATCTTATTGCATTTACTGTTAGAACCAATATTTTAAGACACAACCCGGAGGCTGAACCATTTTTCCTCCAGGTGGATGGGTCATTGGTTCAACAGTTGTGGTCAACAGGTTAACCAGTCACGACAGTAAAAAGTTCCAAAATAAAATGAAATAACACATTCAAAATGGGTCTTTGACCAAGTCAAAAGTTTTTTATGATGTGGCATGCTAGATATTGACCTGTATGGAAGCTTGAAACTGTGGCAGGTCACCAGTAAAACACTGGTGAGAATAGATATATGTTCCTTTCAGATATTACATGACAATTGATGAGCATAAATTCTGAATCAAAAGTTATCACAGATCATACCCAACTGATCAAAGTGCATTCGCAGATGAAATTTTAAGGAACTGGGAACTTTGTGCAGAATGAGTTGTGGTCAAACATATGCAAGGTTTTAAGATTTTTTGGACAGTTTGAATAGAAGAATCAGAAATTTTTTGAAGGTCTAGAAGTCTTTGTACTGTAACAAGTAATTTCTTAAAGGTTTGGACTTTGGTGGTGGATGCTTTTAGTGATCGTTTTCTTTTTTTTTTTTTTTTTTTTTGATCAGCAGTGCTTTTAGTGATCTTAATAATAGAAACTATAGCAAACAGCATCAAGTCTTGGTTGTATAAGGTGCTAAACACATTTTTTCGTTAGAATTTAGAAAGAATGGCATCCTTGTTTTTTGGTAATAAAACGATTCATTAAGAACGAAGCAGAAGAAACACAACAAAACACAGAGACAACCAACAATGACACACCACAACACAGACCATAGGAAAGAAAAGACCCTATTAACCACGAAACAGAAGAAACACAACAAAACACAGAGACAACCAACAAGGACACACCATAACACAGACCAAAGGAAAGAAAAGACCCTATTAACCTACACCCAATGCACGATCCACAGAATATAAAACTGACCTCTACAAACAAGACAGAAAAACAAAGGCATCTGTGGCAGATATAAAATTGCCATATGAAACTTCTTTGCTTCAGATTGCCATGATCTTGAAGGATAAACACATATTAATCTGTAAAAGTAGACTGAGTTCAATAATTTCATTAAAACGTAACAGATTAGAAGGACAGTATGCTGAACCCAAATAGTTGCGACTTTTAGGTATCACAGTTTGCTAATATGAGGTTTATGGTATTGCAGTTTGATTGTGTAGAGACTGCCACAAAACCTGGAAAATAGTGGACTTTTATGTATATTTCCCCAATTTCTAGCAGAACATAGTTTCCATTTGGGGAGATGAGCTACTAAAATTATTTCTACTGATCTTGGGAAGTGTGGAAAACCAGTTTCCTTTCCACTCCCAAAATACTTTGATCACTTATTCAGTTTGAAATCAAAAGATTCTATCATATTCGGATATAAATTGATAACCAAACACCATTATTTTTCACTTTGTAAATAAACAGAAAAATAATCCTAATAGAGGCTATTTTTGCATTTTGACTTTATTTGTTTATGTGATGGTAAAATCATTTTAAGTTTTTTCTTATATAAAACATAGGACTTCCTTTTATAATATTTATACAAATCTTTGCATCACAATTCAAGTTTCTCTAGAAAAAAAAAAAAAGAGACTTCATGATACTCAAAGACTAATGCCTCAAGGCACCTCATGCATATGAAGAAGGTCTTAGTGTCTACTCCGCCTTTTAGGGCATTGCTTCCCTGTAATCCATTGCCATTGATGTCTACCATACCTGGCCAGCAGACAGGAATCCAGCCACATCTATAACAGGGCTAAACTCTTTAGGAAGCAATTCTGGCTTGTTAACCCCGACTTTCGCCTCCACACTTCCAACTCCTACAAAGTTTTGTTTGCTTTCTTTTAAATCTCCAGTCTGGATCAAGAAAAAAAGAAATCTCCAACATATCGAACAACTTGAAGGAAATTAAGTCCCAATAAAGAAAATGTTAATTCCTATTGGCAATTTGAAGGAATAACAGAATAGGCTTCAAAAAAAAAAAAAGAATAGAGTAAAATGTAAAATGTGACAAGAACCTACTCTTAACACTGAACATTCCGATGCTTGTGTGAAGAAAAGTCATGGAAGAATATGAAATAGCATCCCCTCAACAGCACAAGGGACAAAGAAAGGGAATATGATTTTAGAGTCTTTGAAAAACAGAGATCGAAATTCCCACCAATAAAAGAGATAGTCCATGGGTATTATTCCGACAAATGGTGCACACAGCAATTGAAGCAATCCTGACAAGCCAGTATGGTGACATAACAAACTTCCGTTAACAATGAAAGAAATGGTCACACATCTTCAACGAAATGTCCCATCAAAATCCAACACAAGATTAATATTATGAAAGAGGAAGGAGACCAAACCACAAGGTCCACAACCCCTTCATCAGTGAAATGCAAATTCCGGCATCGATTGAACTTATATTACATCAAGAAATGCACCGCATTAATTAAGTTCGGAAATTCATTTAAGTTCAATGAGAAGAAGGATAGCTGCAGATTCCAGAGCAATGACGCGCTTAAATGTTCGAGTTAAGAAAGACCCTCTTTCTAAAAAATAAAAAAGAAACCAGATAAACCCGATCAAAAGGGACGAAAACCAAACAAAACCGAAAGTGGTCAACCCTAAGTCCTAACCAATCTCTAACGGAAACACTTACCAGTGAGCGACAAGGCTAGTGCAAGAGCACCTGAGAGCGCGAAATTTAGAGATTTGGAATGAAAATCAGCAACCCATTTCTTTAAAGCAGGTGCATTTGTCGGCGAAGAGAGAGAAGACGAAATCGTCATCGGTCTTGCAACCAGAGCTAGCGAGGAGGCTCTAGTTTGAAGAAGAGGGAGGGATGAAGGAAAGAGGGCAAACGCCATCTCATCAACTTCCAGTTCCAGTACCGCGACACCCGATGGAGAATAGGAAATGCGGATTTACGCCTGCGGATGAATTTTTCGATTTTCTAAGGCTTGTTCGTATTCCATACGGTTCCACAGCAAAACAGTTAAAGATCAGTCATCGCAGCCACACATGAGATGTTTCGAATGCACGGAAGTAGTGTGTTGTGAGTAGATGTAGGTAGAATTCTTATGGACTGGAGATCCGTAGCGTGTGTGTTTAAAAACCGAACCGATGACCGATCTCGGCCTGGTTTTCTTTTCAGGTGGCGGCAGGTCACTAATTGGACCATTCCGTTAGTAAGACTAAGACCAAGACCCTTTACAATGGGGTCAATTATAATTACGGAATTACCCCCTCAGGTAGCCCAACCCCCAACAAGGCACCTGAACTTTCACTCTGCAATAAATACTCCTTTTATTAAAGTTTCGTCAATTATTCATTTTTTAAATTCTGAAATTACTCTTTTATTATTGATTTGAATTATTTATGCTTTGACTAATTTTTTTAAATATTATATTGAAGTTTTCTCGATTGCTCTAATGGATTTTTGTAGATTTTTGGATAAATTTAATATTCAAATGAAATGATAGAGGTTTTTTTATGATAGAAATAAAGACAACATGATGAAATAAAACAAAAATTTAAAGAAACTTGTATGTAAGTGAAATAATTCTTGTTATTTTAGCTGGTTTCATTTGGGAAAAATAGAGGTATATTTGAGTCAACTACGGTTTATGGGAAAAGGGCAAGAAAAAGAAAATTAAGGAATGTTTAGGTGGATATTTGGTAATTCAATGCATTCCGTCATCTAATTTAACAGTCAAGAAATATTTGTGATAAAAGGTAAAGTTCAAGGGGTCTTTGTCGTAAATGAAAGTTCAGGGGGCAATTGTCACTAACCCCATAGTAGAGGGTTCCTTGTCACAAATGAAATTTCAAGGGGTAATTTGTCATTGACCCCATAGTATAAAGGGGTCTTTGTAATTTACCTTTTTTTACCAAATCTATTGACAAACAAGGGTGTCCACTATATGGTCTAGACCACAAAACTACACCGAACTAACTCGTAATTGGCAGTTTGGTCTAATTTGGCCTTAAAATGGTTTGATTTGGTCTAAGAATTCCTCAAACTGTAATTTTTTTCTTTGGTTTGGTTTTTTAAATTTTAGAAACCAAACAAAATCGTAAACCGAATTAAACCAAATTATTAATAATATAATTAGTAATGTATATAATATATATAATACATATGTGTATTCATTTAACATTTCATACATTATTATTGTTTTGTTTCAATTTTTAACTTGCAATTTTATGCCCAAGGTGTTTATGTTTGAGAAAGTGCGATTGTAATTTATATAAAAGCAATATTGAAAATTCTTAACATTTCAATTCGATATCTGAATTATATTTGTTATTTATGTAGGTATGTATACATGTAATTTGGGCTTTCTAGTTGGGTTAAGCCCAATAAAATGTCCCAAAAAGTATTAGAAACCGGACCAAACTGTACTATTATGGTTTGATCTAATTTGGTTCCTATACTAAAATGGTTTGGTTTGGTTTGAGAATTTCTCAAATTCTAATTAGAGGTGTAAATTGGGTCGTGCCGTCCGCAGCCTGTCATGACTCGACCTGGCACGATGGTCCGATTCGTGCTGGGCCTGGGGTTCTAGGTCCACGGGCCGACATGGCATGGTGTCATACCGCCTATGGCCCATGTGCCGGCATGACCCAATGTACAGCACGGCTCGTGGACCTGTAGCTATATAGGGGGGGTTTTATAGAAATACCCCCCAACAACTATAAACAGCTATATAGGGGGTATTTATGTATTTTGGTTTTGGGAGGGGGGAGAAAGAATGACACAAATGCCCCCCAAGAACTATATAACAGATAGCTTGGGGGGCATTTTGGGTAAAGTGATAAGTAATTTACAATGACCAAAATACCCCTCCCAACAACTAGTTTTTAAGGTATTTTGGGCAATTGAATTATTTTCAATTCCTATAAATAGCCCTATCATCCACCATTCTCATCACACCAATTCAACAATTCCTATAAATAGCCCTATCCTCCACCATTTTCAATTCCTACAATGATCAAAGTCAAGAATAATAGGAGAAAATCATGAAGTCAATATTTTTTGTATACTCAATAGTTGTATAGCATTTTTTTTTCAAATTATTGTAAATTTTGTTTTAATTTATTTGATATTTTTTAAAAAACATAATTTTTTATTTTTAATTTGTAACTATATTGTAATTTTATGTTTTATTAATTTATTCCAATTTTCATATTTCATTCATCCAACAATTGCATGCTTTGTATCATTCAAATTTAAATGAAATAAAATTCTTATTTTGCTTCCAATTTGTTTTTCACTTTGAGTCTTTGTCTTTTTGACTTCTTATTTGGTTAAGTATTTTTTTTTCATTTCTTTGTTAGATTTCTTATTTTTTCAAATAGTCCCCAAAGGAAAGTTAAATATTTTAGTTTTACTTAGCAAAAAAATAAAAAAAAAATCAAAAATGTCAAAAAAACAGTTTGACCTGGTTCGGCCCATACCCAAGACCTGGCCTAGGCCCACACGGGCTTGGGTCGTGGATCATGCCGAGCTGACCCCCTAAATTATCCCTGGGAGAGGCGGCATGGCCCAAAACGACCCGATACAGTCTAGTAGGACCCATTTTACACCTCTAATTATAATTTAGTAGTTTGGTTTGAGATATTCTCCAAACCAAATTGTGAAGACCCCTATCAACAAATAGGTCAATCTTTGTCTCACGGTCATAGTACAAGGGGGTCTTTGTCGCAAAACAAAGTACAGGGGGGTCTTGGTCATAGACCCTATAATACGGGGGGGTCTTTGTAATTTACCCAAAAAAAGTTTAGAGACATAATTTTCACTGCCTTCAAAGTACATGATGGTTTTTATATTTTACCCTCTTTTTCTTATTTCTTTCACTTTATTTTCTTTTCTTAGATAAAGGCAAATTTGCATTATCTAACATTTATGTAAGATAATATGCACATGTCTGCAAATAAGTATTAACTATACATAATAATATAAGGGCATATCAAGGTTTTTAAAACCGATTCGGAGAACGAACTGGTCAGGGGTCTGGTTCCTGGGTTGAACGGTCCAACTATTCAAATCGAACAATTAGCCCGTTCTAAAAAAAATTAAAAAAATTAAAAATTTTAAAAAATGGTCAAAACTATTGAACGGTTCAAACGGTTCAACTGCCTGGGTTAGCAATTTGCTGACCAAATCAACGTTTTTTAGAAAAATCTGATTTTGGGGAAAAACGAAACCGATCACCTGACCGATTCCCAATTTTTTCGATCTAATCCGATCCGGTTTTAAAAAAAAAGTGGGGCATATACTATACACACATGCAAATAATCTAAAGCAAGACAAATATCCACTTTATATAATATAATATAAATGATCAGGGTTTAAACTATAAACCCACCTTACAAAGATCGTCCTCAAAGCTCTTTAGCCTTATAAGCTACCAAACCAGCGGCCATATTACCTTGTCTTTTAACGTGACATAAATCTAACATAACTAATTGAAGTAGCCCCGTGTTAACACTAAGATTCAGCTTAACCTTTTCTGACTATGATACACAATAAGGCTATCCACCATGGTTTTCGAAGTGTTATTAATCCGGATGGTTGGACTGTTTGATCCAAAAATTGTTCAGACAACTGATACCATTTTATCCTGAACCATTTTTTTGCCAAAAACAATAGACTTGGTCAGCAACCTGCTGACCCAGACGCTCAAACCATGGACCCATTCAACTTAGACAATGTTTTTTTGGCTGTTTTTAATTTTTTAAATTGTAACTGGTGAATGACCCCGTACTAAGTACGGGGAAGTTAATTTTATATATATATATATATAAATATTAATGATTTTTATTACCATTTTTTAGTATTGTTTATAAACTACCGTTTTTTAAGACACTCATACAGTCTACGAGTCTACATAAATTGACCCTTATATGTCAAACCCGTAAAATTATACGGGTCATTAAATTCAACTTGCACCATTTATTACTTTAATTTAACCATTATTATTATTATTAATTTATTTTAGTATTTAATTTAAATTTTTGTTATATAGTAATAATATTAAATAAATTTGTAATTATTTAAATATTTACTTAAAATAATTTTTCCAACTGACTATAATTATTATATAATAGATTTGTTAATTCATATTTTGCATTTAAGAATAAACATTAATGATTTGGCTTAACAATTTTAATGACGGTTAATAAATATTGATTCTTATTTAAGGTTTAATTATTGTATTTGGTAATTATTATGGGGCATGCTTTGAATAAACATTAATGATAATTGATGACTGTTATTTCATTTTTTATTATTTACTTAATTAAGTACTTGGTGTTTGTTATTATTATTAATTATTTCTACAAATAATTGATTGCTATTATTATTTACTTAACTCAGTAATTTTCAGCAAGTAATTATTTGATTTAATTTGAATTATTCCATTTTTTAAATATTTATAATAGACATTTAGGGTAGTCTATTTATTTGATTTAAGAGACTTACCATGTTTTATCCAGACAATGACCCCATACTAAGTAAGGGGAAATTACAGTACCATTTAATTTGAAATTTACTATTTAACAATAAAAAATCAATGTCCTATTGAGCAACCCACCTCCAAAAAAGTATCAATAACTTTGAAATCATTAATCTATTTATAAAATAGTAAAATTAGATGGATGTTTACAACAATGTCACCAATACGGCTTAATATTTAGGGACATATGAGTGGATAAAGAGCATTTAAATGATATCCAATCAAAGAGGCAAAGAATGAAGAAAATCATTCAATAAGCTGTTAAGAAAAACAATCCATGCCAAACAACATTTGCAGATGCATCCATACTCTCAAGTAAGAGATGAAAAATATATGACTACAATCAAATCATCATGTATGGATACAATCAACTGATAATATAATCAGGACTCCAAAGCCCATCCAACAAAGGAAACATGAAAGAAAGAAGAATAATGGGACCATCCTAAGTATGGAAGTCACCTCCAAGTTAGGTGACAGTGATTCTTTTGGTCGATCATGATTACGGATTTTAAGTCTAAGCTTCTCACAGTGCATGTAGACTGGCTAGAATTGGGAGATAGAAATAGGAAACGTAGGTTGAAATTATAATTTT